CACGTTGCTAACATGATAAGAGAAGTAAGCCAGTAATGAGGAAGTCTAATAAGGTTTTATGTTTATTATTTTTTATCATTGTTATGGTGTGATGGGTGACTTTGTTTCAGGGTCATGCACAGCATATTGGACATTTCTATTCAATAATATTAACTGTGGATAAGAGAATGGAAGTGAGAAAGAGATTATGATATGCAGATAGGCGGATGAAAATTTCAGATATGGTTTCTATTCATACATTAATAATCACAAGTACTATTTATTCATTCTTGTATTAGCTACAGCAGTTTTGCATGATCTTCATTATTCATCCTTCGTTTAAGTTACTCAATTCGATTTAAATTGACACACGTTGACGTGGTTCATTGTGGCTTGCATTCTCTGGCGAGATACTTTGATGAGATGAATGTGTATATGTTCGTCCACACCTGTGGAGTTAGAATATCAGTGTTGTCGGATCAGTCTCTGGCGCAAGCGATATGGAGTCTTTGCCACCTACCTCACACCATATTCTCTTGATATGAACACCACAAAAGTATTTCTGTGTTTCCATGATTCTGCTGAACCGATAAACTGTTTCACGTTCTTACGCCTCCTCTGTGATAGTTTCACTCACAAACTGTCAAATTGAAGTTATAGGATGAAGACATGCACATGGAACGAAGTGATTATTCTCACAAAAATTGTCTCATGAAATATACTGACAGCATTTCATACCACACTCATACTTTGTTTGTTCAATCAACAAATTCACAGACAAGATTGAATATACTTCGCCACCTGACATCCAACTAGGGTTCACAGGATACGGATCGTATCTTTGAAAATGACACATCCGAATCCCATCTTATTTCGCTTAGAATCCATTCGAATTCTTTCTTATTTTCTATGGATTTTTTTCATTTGTTTATCTCCGCGTTACTCTATGTGTCTAGTCTCTCTTTCACTTCAATATGTAATTCATGGCTCCAACACTCTGTCAGTTCAGGAAAAGGTGTTTTCTTGTATGTCTGTGATTTGCGTTGGACTTGTCACGGTGTTACACAACTTTTTAGTTTCTTAGCAGCCTCCCAAAAACTTCTTTTGTGGACCTCATTGTCCACTGCAACCAAACAATTAGATTTGGTTTTTATTTGTTTCACTCTCAGCCTTCTATGTTAAGTGCAGTAAAGTGTAATAAACTGGCACTCTTTGTGAATTTCCGAGAGTCATCTTATTTGACATCATGTCATGGTTGAAAGTGCATAAACATGATTAATTCAACTTTAGGCGGCACGCATTTGACGAGTAGCCAGTGATATAAACGATAGTATCACCTTATTTTTTTCAAACCATCGTCTGTGCTTCACTCAAATATATCCTTACAAATAGTCTTCAGGAAAAACAATTCACTGAGTGAAATAAATAGTGAAAAGTAACGATGAACACATTCAGTAGTGAGGTCTATCTCAGAAAAGTATATACACCTGCGAATAGAAGACTCTATCCAATGTATCAAGTACTCGAAAACTAAGTAAGACATCACAGATGGATGCCTTTCATGTCAACGGGTACTTTATGACTTGTTGTTGACTGGGATACAAAATTCGAGTTCATAATCTGCTGGAACCCACTAACTCATCAACTTAATGCCGAACATTTCAAGTTAGCAGTGTGAAGTTCGAATGCAGGGTCAACTTTTGAAGGCATCCATATAGGCTTATACTGTTCCTTGGTCTCAATCAAGGGTGAACTCTTTCTGCGGTTCGCTTTAGATTTTATTTTCAATATATTCTTCTTCCCTTGGATCCAGAGTGAAACACATAAATTCAAAAACCCACCTCAATCTTGACTTATATCTGAAGTCATCTTTGTCTGGCCTCAGGACTGCCTACAAGATTTTACCTCTTCCTCAAAAAATTTCGTCGTTACCCTCGGAAAATCAGTTTCTCATTTCTAATCCATTTTATACTTGACAGCGTGGTGCATGAAGTCACTCAACGATCTCTTCAGTGTTCGTTTGATGAATTTATCTCTACTCAATTTCTGTGCAGTTGTCGAGTGGTAGATTATTGATCTGTTTATCAACAGAGTTTCTGTTCACCTATACTATTCCTCTCAAAATCTGATTTCAAACATAAAAGAATAGCGTCTGTTAATAAGTCAACAGTGGCAGACTGGAAATATGGCGGGTAGCAGAGCCATGTGGGAGCACAGACTGACCTAATCAGTTTTGTTCTTTATGCATAGTTGAGTATATTTTTACACCAATTTTATAGTAATGAAGCTTAGTTTCGATTCGCGAGTCCCCACTGGATTCGAAACCGTCATCTAAGTTGCCAGCAGTTGTGGGTATGTTGCCTAGGTAAGCGATGGTTTTCATCCAACAGAGGTTTCCCTCAAAGATGGTGACTAATGATTCCTACTGCAATTGGTTTGGGATAAACATGCTCTCTCGCTATCATCATCGTTCACATGAAATCCTGATCTAGCCTTCATATTCTTCAACCTTAATGGGTTTCTTTTGTGACACTTTCCTATGAGCAAGTCGATAAATAAATGAACACTCCCAGGGTGTCCAAGTTTCACACAGATAATCATGATGCTGTTTGAAACTCTACTCAACCGTTGCACGCAAATGATATTCAAATCCTTCTCATTCATCACTGTTGTTTTCATGCAGACAATGGTGCTTTCTAGATTTTTAGGTCAGATATTATATCATTCCTATTCATCGTACACTATGCTGACCAGACAAAATGAACTTTAAGTGATCAGTCCTAACTGTCACCTATTTGATTTGAGATTTATAGGTTGTCGCTTTAGCATATTTTCAAAATGTGATATCGAGTCAGTGAAGAATAGAGAAAAATCTATGCGGAGATGATGGCGAATAAACGGCCTAGAGTGAAGAAGAGGGTTAGAAATTGTCATAGTAATCACTTAAAATACGTAGATAGAAATATGAGAAAAATATAAGAGAGAATAGAAAAAAAATAATTCGGCTAAACTAAAAAAAAATATAACAGTCAAAATAAAATAGGTGATCACTAGGAGAATACAATATAAAACGACGAAACATGAAAGGATTTACGCCTTGAAGATTATATTCTAGTAAAAATTAGATACACCGTGCCTCTCGAATTTGAACGATTCCACGTATACAGTGTGATGCTAATATCAGCATTCATTCATGGCATTCTGGAAATGAGGCTGAAAATAGGAAGCACTTCCAATATACAACTGAATTTCGTGAAGCTCCTAATGTGAGAAACTTGCGTTAACACAAATGACCACTTTGATTTCCATCTGCTCATAATACTGAGGATGAATTCGCATTCTCGAGGATGTTTCCATCCTCCATTTTGTCAAAATATATTCCTATTAGTATGTCACGCATCATAATATGGGTGCGTTTCAGGCTTTCTTATGAATTCAGAAAATACAAGCTTCAATCATTTGGCGACGATGAGTGAGAGCAAAAGCTCATCAATGCTACAGGATAATCGTGGCGGCAGTATATACATAGATATGGATTAGGAATCAAAGGATACTGGTACCTCATCCAGTGACTAGAAGATAACACGATCATCTTGTGACACGATGGTCATCGGGATGAAACCTGGTAGCCTCAAAGAATTTTCGCCTTGACGATTGTATTCTAGTATAAATAAAACTCGCCATGCCTCTCGAATTTCCATGATTCTCTAAATGACTTCGACATCTTCAGTGTGATGTTCATAACTGGCGAAACTCTACGACTCTAGCTTTCAGTCAAGGCGGACTAAAATTCAGGTTGAGAAACGGATTCGCTTTTTGATTACAACTTAACATATGTGTAGCTTTTCATTTTGGTATTTTACTGTCACACCATTTCTCACTTTGATTTCCAACTACTCATAATAATCGGTAGTCTTCGGCGTTCTGGAAGATGTTTCCATCCTCCATTTTGTCAAATTTAACCTTATTAGGAAGTCACTCCTCGTATTTATTGTTCATTATCAGGCTTTCTTATGAATTCAGAAAATGCATGCTTGAACCCTTTTACTACGTTTGGTGAGAGGATACGTCTCTACTGTTGTGCCTCTAAGTTTATTCTCTGTGAGCATTAGCAGGTGTCATTCATTTAAGAATTTTTCCTGTTGTTTATTAGTTTAAAATATTCAATTGACTAAAATTATTATAATTTCTGTATTTTTCATTTTCTGCATCTTGCTTGTTAAAAAGAATGATAAGTGAGTCCGCGAATAAAGGATGCCAAATAATATATTTTACACATAGCAAAGTTCCACTCAACCGAACTTCAAACATTTTTCTTTATACAACAAGATGGCAACTGTTCTGGTGTAATCAGTGGTGTGATCGTGGAGATGTTTGACACTCCGATTGAAAATCTTTAGTGTCTTTCTTGTGTTTGCTTATGAATTTTGATGCTTAGCAGATAACTTTAAGTAACAAGCTAATCCCTTTCTGATTTATAATTTCCCGTTAACGTTGACCAAAGCAAGTAAGTAAGATTCGTGCAAATTCGGACACAAGATTGCCTTCTTATTCAAATGATTTGCTAAAAGAGATCGACAATATGAGGCCTGTTATCCGAGTACGCAAAACGATATATGGAAACCGAAAGCGCCATCAACAAATACTGACTGAAATATTTGTTAAGTGCAGGCGTTCTCGAACTTACTTTGCCCAGTCGAGAGTTTGCATCACAATCATCAAGTTATTACAAGGAATCCCATTGAGAACGCGTCCTTTGTCACCTATTAAAAGTTTTTTACATACACAATCACATAACGCAGAGACTATAAGTAAACTCTGGAAACTACTCACTGAGAATGTCGATACGGTGGAGCTGCCTATCAGCAGATCCCTTTCAGTGATAAAAAGACCAATGCAGGAAGATGATATAATAAAGATGGATTGGGAAATATTGTTATTTATTAGTTAACTTTGAAAAAAACCAAACATTCGAAATATTAGAAACTACAACTACATAGTTTAAGTGAAACTGGAAACGTTTATATTAATTTGTTGTGTAATTGAACAAAAGAGTACAATTCTCGTCGGACATCATGCAAGCGACTGAGTAAATCAGAAGTCACAACGCGAAGATAACACGAAGCAACTGCTAAGCGCCTTCTACAAATAAAACAAGAGATGTGTGTTGATTAGGCCACATGAATATGACATATATCGAAGAAGATAAACAACCTAGGAAGAAGAGGACTACACACGCGAGGTTAGTAAAATTGATACCGACGCAATACAATTTGATTATACATGTTGACAGAAACAAGGTTGGCAGTAAGTGAAGGTATGGAATAACCAAAAAAAACATAATTGTCAGTTTGAAATTGGAAACAAACATTCAAAATATCATAGAGAAAAGCAAACGAAAAAAATAATGCAATAAAAAATATATAAACACGTTAATATAATATAATAAAACAAACTAATATGCAAGAAAAAATAACGAAAAGTGCGCTAGCCCTAATAGTTGAAGAATAATATCAACACAAAACGACAGAACACAAACAAAAAATTAAAACTGAAAAAGAATAAATAGGAGATTAATGACTAAAAACATCAACAGGATTTTCATGGAGTAAAAAGATTTAGAAAACTCCGAAGAAATAAAATAATTTCAGAGCAAACGAAGAACATGAAATCACATTTTCTATCTCTGACGATAGAGGCATACGGCGAATATCACTCCTTCACAATACTAGTTTGTGTCAGTCCACAACGTTTTCATAATTTATTCTGCCTATCCAGATCGCTTCTCTACACCTATTGAATTCCATTCACGAATGGTGAATTGAAACAGTCTGTTCACAAAGCAGTACCATCCTCAGAGTCATTTTCTGATGATTGCATCTATTTGTGATTGGCGTGATTGTCTACTGACAAGGTGGACGAGAGATTGAAGACGAAAGAAGACAGAAACTGTAATTGTCGACTGCAGGAGGTGACGTCTGCGTTTGAGAAGGACACGACAACCTAGTAGTGATTACAAGCATGTCTGACAGTATGCTGACTGTGCAGTGCAACACTGGTTTCTGCTCACACTATGTGCTTGCTTCATTTGATTTCTGGTCTCCACCGAACTGACTTCCACAAATCGCCTGCATTACAATCTACTGAGAGATCAGGTGATGCGTTACGTGGACAGAGATTTACGCCTTCCCGAACTACTCAGAAAGCCACAGTTTGAATTTACTCAGCATCTTCCGAATACTATTTCACACCTTATCTGTAGTCTCATATTCCACAAATATGAAATTCCCACTCTGACGCCTATTTCGGTTGCATCTGCCTAGTCAATTTTATTCACTGTTTCCATTTATTCATGTCAGCATACACTAATTTGTTTAAGTCAGGTTGGTTGACAGATGCTCCCGTCAATTTTTATAACTCTCGCTAATGTCGATATACATATATATCTTGTCATCACATATTGATAGAACAGACTTCGATAATACATGCATTCGGATGAAAGCACATTTTGACTTATTTTCAACATGATGAAATTATCTATGTATATGTTTACAAATGTGCACATAAGTTCATCCTGAATATTTTCATTCCAACAGCTCTATATTTGTACTTGCATGGTGATACTTGGTAATTCATAATAACACCAGCAGTTTATCGGTTGTTTTCCACAATAGCTTTGTAATAAATAAATAATTCGGATACATGTTCAAATATAATATGAATGGCTGTATAATTTCAAATCGTTAATATCCGCAATCCTGCATCATATTACACTGAACAATCCATCAAAACAAAGGATATATATTCCTAAAAATATATTCTTACGGATAAATTTGTTCTTCAAAATATCTTTTCAAATATACGAAAAAATATTTTATCAAAGGAACGGTAAAAGAAACATTCATAAATATAACATAATTAACAAAAAATGACGCTATTGCCAGTTTATTCTATCCCTTCCACGACATAGGCATACAAGGAATATCACTACTTCACAATACTAGTTTGTGTCAGTCCACAACACTTTCATAATTTATTCTGCCTATCCAGATCGCTTCTCTACACCTATTGAATTCCATTCACGAATGGTGAATTGAAACAGTCTGTTCACAAAGCAGTACCATCCTCAGAGTCATTTTCTGATGATTGCATCTATTTGTGATTGGCGTGATTGTCTACTGACAAGGTGGACGAGAGATTGAAGCCGAAAGAAGACAGAAACTGTAATTGTCGACTGCAGGAGATGACATCTGCGTTTGAGAAGAACACGACAACCTAGTAGTGATTACAAGCATGTCTGACAGTTAGATATAGTAGAGAAGATTTGTAGCTCAGGTGGATGATTTTGGTGTGGTTGTGTTCTCTGAGCTGGATGGTTTGGTTGCGAAGCTTTCATTGCTCTACTGAGCGCACACATCGAAGTATGTGCTGAAGATGTAACTCAGTAGAGCAATGAAAGCTTCGCAACCAAACGATCCAGCTCAGAGAAGACAACCACACCAAAATCATCCACCTAAGCTACAAATCTTCTCTATTATATCTAAATCATACGAGCGGAACACGCTTCTTTCTCTTGGAAAGCGGGAAGACTTCGCCAAACGGCAAGGATCCACCAGAGAACAACTATTTTTTTCTCCATGTCTGACAGTATGCTGACTGTGCAGTGCAACACTGGTTTCTGCTCACACTATGTGCTTGCTTCATTTGATTTCTGGTCTCCACCGAACTGACTTCCACAAATCGCCTGCATTACAATCTACTGAGAGATCAGGTGTTCCCTGATAGGCACAGAGATTTACGCCTACCTGAACTATTTAGAAAGCCACAGTTTGAATTTACTCAGCATCTTCCGAATACTATTTCACACCTTATCTGTATCCTCATATTCCACAAATATGAAATTCCCACTCTGACGCCTATTTCGGTTGCATCTGCCTAGTGAATTTTTTTCACTGTTTCCATTTATTCATCATCATCAAATTGTTGATGTCACGTGGGTTGAAACATTTTCTTGTCACTGTGTCTTCACTCTCAATAATATTGTTGTACAAAATCATATATATTCAGTAAACATATTTTGATAGAACAGACTTCGATGCCACAAGCATTTGTATGAAAGCACATTTTGACATATTTTCAATATGATATACTTATCTATGTATATGTTTACAAATGTGCACAGAAGTGCATCCTGGTTATTTTCATGTAATGAGCTGTGTATTTGTGCTTGCATGGTGATGGTTGTTTACTCATACTTTCACCAGCAGTTTGATGATTGTTATCCACAATTACGTTTTTGTAAATAAATTATTCGGATGCATGTAAACACAATATTTTTGGAACATAGGGTGTCTTTTTTCCATGATGTTTTTAATTTTCAATTTTTATAAATATAATTCAGCAATCTTTCAAAATGAGAAATTTCTCCAGAAAATACTTACTTTTCACGCAGTTTTTCTTAACTACATTGAGAAATATTAAAATGTCATTTTGAATTCAAATATTGTAGAATATATTCATGATAAATAAATAAAATATAGAAAAGACAACGAAGAACAATACAGTTCAATCTTAATCAGTAATGCGTAGGCACACAGCGAATATAACCACTCAACAGTAATAGTTTGTGTCAGTCCACAACGTTTCCTTATTTGTTGTGCTTATCCAGATAGGTTCTCTACACCTATTGAATTCCATTCACGAATGGTGAATTGAAACAGTCTGCTCACAAAGCAGTGTCATCCACAGAGTCTTTGTGATGCTTGCATCTATTTGTGATTGGCATGATTGTCCACTGACAAGATAACGCGTACTCGAACTACTTAGAAAGGCACACTTTGGATTTACTCAGCATCTTCCGAATACTATTTCACACCTTATCTGTATCCTCATATTCCACAAATATCAAATTCCCACTCTGACGCTTATTTCGATTGCATCTGCCTAGTCAATTTTATTCACTGTTTCCATTTATTCATGTCAGCATTCATCGAATTGTTGATGTCACGTGGGTTGAAAGATTCTCTCGTCAGTGTTACTTCACTCTCCGTAATATTGTAATACATATTTATATTATATATATGTTTATATATATGTATATTTGGTGAACACATTTTGATAGAACAGAATTCGATGCTACTTGCATTGGGATGAAAGCACATTTTGACTTATTTTCAATATGATAAATTTATCCATGTATATGTTGACAAATGTGCACATAAGTTCATCCTGGCTATTTTCATTCCATCAGCTCTATATTTGTACTTGCATGGTGATTCTCGATATTTCATAATTTCACCAGCAGTTTATCGGTTGTTTTCCGCAATAACTTTGTAATAATTAAATTATTCGGATTCATGTTCACACACCATATTGCAAGCCTTGTAATTCAAAAAACTATTTTTTCCTTCCAAGGTTATACTGTTTTCACATATACCTTAATACTTCAAAAATTATTATATTTAGCAAAATGGATATACCTTTTTCACAGTCTTCGTGATTTGCATTGACGAAAAAAATGAAATTTAATTCAATTTGATTATTTCACATGAAATGTGTCAAAATAGAAAAAGTCATTATTAATCCAGCCAAACACTGGACAGTAAAGCTCATCTATGTGACAACATAGGCATACAGCGAATATCATTCCTTCGCAATAAACGTTTCGACAAAGATTTCATAATTTGTTGTGCCTATCCAGATCAGTCCTCTACACCTATTGAATTCCATTCACGAATGGTGAATTGAAACAGTCTGTTCACAAAGCAGTACCATCCTCAGAGTCATTTTCTGATGATTGCATCTATTTGTGATTGGCGTGATTGTCTACTGACAAGGTGGACGAGAGATTGAAGACGAAAGAAGACAGAAACTGTAATTGTCGACTGCAGGAGATGACGTCTGCGTTTGAGAAGAACACGACAACCTAGTAGTGATTACAAGCATGTCTGACAGTATGCTGACTGTGCAGTGCAACACTGGTTTCTGCTCACACTATGTGCTTGCTTCATTTGATTTCTGGTCTCCACCGAACTGACTTCCACAAATCGCCTGCATTACAATCTACTGAGAGATCAGGTGTTCCGTTATGGGCACAGAGATTTACGCCTACCTGAACTATTTAGATAGCCACAGTTTGAATTTACTCAGCATCTTCCGAATACTATTTCACACCTTATCTGTATTCTCATATTCCACAAATATGAAATTCCCACTCTGACGCCTATTTCGGTTGCATCTGCCTAGTCAATTTTATTCACTGCTTCGATTTATTCATGTCAGCACTCAGCAAATTGTTGATGTCACGTGGGTTGAAACATTTTCTCGTCAGTGTATCTTCGCTCTCATTTATATTATTATACAAATACATATATTTCAGTCAACATATTTTGATATTAAAGACTTCGATAATACATGTATTCGGATGAAAGCACATTTTGACTTATTTTCGATATGATCAAGTTATCTATTTATATGTTGACAAATGTGCACAAAAGTTCATCCTGTCTGTTTTCATGTAATCAGCTGTATATTTGTAATTGCATGGTGATGGTTGTTTACTCATACTTTCACCAGCAGTTTATCGGTTGTTATTCACATTTTTTTATAAATCATTTATTGGAATACATGTTCACGAACCACGTTATTCCCTGCACCATCCCAGATTATTGTGAAATAGTTCGAAAAAATCTTTGTGACAATGCCTCACGACAACGGATATATATATATTTAACTGTATACCTACCACGTCTGCATTCTTTGAAGTTTGCAATCGAAAGTAATAAAAATAAATTTAAATGTTAACGTAAAACACATTCAATAAAATATGTAAGTCATACAAAAGATAACGAAGGCATTGGCAGTACACTCTGAACCTATGACGACATAGCCACAAAGCGAATATCACCACTCCAAAATAATAGTTTGTGTCAGTCCACAACGTTTTCATAATTTATTCTGCCTATCCAGATCGCTTCTCTACACCTATTGAATTCCATTCACGAATGGTGAATTGAAACAGTCTGTTCACAAAGCAGTACCATCCTCAGAGTCTTATTCTGATGATTGCATCTATTTGTGATTGGCGTGATTGTCTACTGACAAGGTGGACGAGAGATTGAAGACGAAAGAAGACAGAAACTGTAATTGTCGACTGCAGGAGATGACATCTGCGTTTCAGAAGGACACGACAACCTAGTAGTGATTACAAGCATGTCTGACAGTATGCTGACTGTGCAGTGCAACACTGGTTTCTGCTCACACTATGTGCTTGCTTCATTTGATTTCTGGTCTCCACCGAACTGACTTCCACAAATCGCCTGCATTACAATCTACTGAGAGATCAGGTGTTCCGTTATGGGCACAGAGATTTACGCCTACCTGAACTATTTAGATAGCCACAGTTTGAATTTACTCAGCATCTTCCGAATACTATTTCACACCTTATCTGTATCCTCATATTCCACAAATATGAAATTCCCACTCTGACGCCTATTTCGGTTGCATCTGCCTAGTCAATTATATTCACTGCTTCGATTTATTCATGTCAGCATTCATCGAATTGTTGATGTCACATGGGTTGAATGATTCTCTCGTCAGTGTGACTTCACTGATCTTCATATTGTCAAGTGTGTATATGTAAATATATTTCGTTAACATCTAGTCATAGAAGAGACATCGATGCTAAATCCATTTGGATGGAAGCACATTTGGACTTATTTTCAACATAATGAAATTATCTATGTATATGTTGACAAATGTGCACAAAAGTTCATCCTGGCTATTTTCATTTAGTCAGCTGTATATTTGTACTTGCATGGTGATTCTTGTTTACTCATAATTTAGCCATCAGTTTATCGGATTTTCACCACAATAACTTTGTTATAAATAAATTGTTTGCATTCAT